GGAGCTTGCCAGGCTTTGCCGTGCAGGCGGGATACTCTCGGTAGCTTACCAGAAAATAATATCTGATAAAAAACCAAGAAGATAGAGTTTTAAATATTATGCTAATATTGATTTGCTTCACTATGTAAGTTTTGGGAATTCCTTGTCCACGCTTTTCAGAGGTGAGTTGTCATAGCCTGTCCAGCACCAAGGGCTACCATCCCTCCACCAGGTGTTTGAGCCCCTCCCATCTCTGTGCACCCTGCACCCCATTCTTCTGGTGCCCTCAGGTAACCTTTGGATTCGTTTGGTTTTGCTCTGTTCCAGTATATCCCACATTTGTGTGAATTCATCTGGGACTTTTCTTTCTCTTTCCAACTTACCTTGTTTAGAATAACACCCTACATTGACCTAATGGCAAGATTTAATCATTTTTAAGAAATAAGTAGATACTTAGATACTTCAGATTCATGGCTAGACCCAATATCGGCAGGAAAGCAGTGCTTCCACAATTGATCTGTAGATTCAAGGCAGTCCCAATGACAATCCCAGCCTGTTATTTTGTAAGTATGAGCAAACTATCCCAAAGTTTATATGGAGAGGCTCCAGAATAGTCAACAAGTTTGAAAGAAAAACAGCGAGCTGTAGGGATAGTACAGGGGTTCTAGGGATTACACACAGCCAGTGACATCTTAAATTGATCTATACTTGATTTTGGTATGTGGTATAAGGCAGAAATACCCCCCATGTATGGTTAACTATGCCAGCATTTACTGATATATTGAATTGAATTGACTGTGGGATCTCTCTCTCTCTCTCTCTCTCTCTCTCTCTCTCTCTCTCTCTCTCTCTCTCATTTACTTTTGCTCAGGGCTCTTGGCTCTGTGCCAAGATCATTCAAGGCTCATTTCTGGCAGGCTTGAGGGACCATTTGGGGTGCCAGGGATCACATGTGGGTCCACTGCATGCAAGGCAAGCACCCTACCCTCTGTACTATCCCTCTGGCCCATTTGTGGGCTATCTTGGTTGTTCCTTACTTATAGCCACTTCTCCCTGTCTCAGTGCTGTCTTGGTTCTGTTCTCTTGGCTTTTTTGTTTGTTTGGTTTTGGATCACACCTAGCAATGTTCAAGGGTTACTCCTGGCTCTGCACTCAGGAATTACTCGTGGCGGTGCATGGGGGACAAGAAGGGATGCTGGGGATTGAACCCAGTCAGCTGCATGCAAGGCAAGTGCCCTACATGCTCTACTATAACTTTGGCCCCAATTCTCTTGGCTTTACTCTCTGATTCAGTAAATAGGAGAATAAGTTACTCTTCCTCAGACTTCTTTAGGAATGTGTTGGTCCTTCTTCTTTTATTTCATATGAATTTCCATAAAGCCTGCACAGTCTTTGAAGAAGCCTTAAAAAATTCTGGCAGGAATTTTGATCTCTCTACATTTTTGTTTGTGGAAATGATATTTTTATTGTTGTGGCAGGTTCTCATCCTTAAACATGTTATACTCTGCTTTTATTTATATATTATTTATTGTCCTTCAGTAGAATGTTATTTCCGCTCCCTTTTCTTTGGGTGTTGTTGAGCAGGGTTTTCCACACTCTTGGCTGAGATGTGTACCCGAGCAGTGTGCTTAGAGGTGTCCTGTGTATAAACTTGGTTAATGTGCCAGAGATCACACACTTCTTTTTTGGTGGTACCAGGAGTCATCGGCAATGCTGCCATATAGCATTTGGCATATGGGAAATGTTGGGGATTGAATTTTCAGCCTCAGACCTTCAAGGTAGGTGCTCTATTACAGAGCCAAATCCCTGTGCCCAAATCTTCATATAAAACATGATGTTCTTTTATTTTATATTTCTAAATATTATTTCTAGTGTCTAGAATGCATTATATGTGTGTATATATTTAGGTGACAACTCGCTGTATTTTGGGCTTATTTCTGCCTCTGCCTCAGTGTTCAGGGAGCACCCTTGGTGGTGCTCAGGGGACCAGATGTGGTGCAAGGATTGAACCTGGGTTGGTCAAATGCAAGGCTAATGCCTTACATGCTGTACTATCACTCTGCCTTCCTATTTTTTAAAAAATTTTTTTATTTAATGAATCACCTTGAGAGCAGTTACAGAGTTTTTGGTTTAAGTCTCGGTCATACAATGATGAAATACCCGTCCCTTCACCAGTGCCCATTTTCCACCACCCAAAACCTCAATATATCCCCCATCCCACACCCTCCCCCTACCTGTGGGGCAGATGACCTCTACATTACTCTCTCTCTACTTTGATTACATTCAATATTTTGACACCAGACCCATCATTATTATTTGAGATTTTACCCTAACACGCACATCTGCCGAAAAGGCAACCATAGGCAATTTGTTTTCTATTGCTGGTTATGAATAACATATGATGTTGCATGGCCACAGTAGTGGCCGCACGATTTTGGAATTCCAAAATTTGAAACAATTAAATCTGGACGGATTTCTGTCCAAACCTGCTGGGTTCCGAGATTTGTTCCTGAGTCTCTGGGATCATGGCCATTAAGCAGCAGCTTGATCAGGAGCCAGAGAGGCCGTTTTCTGGGTGGCGACTGGGAGTCTTGTAGGGGGGAAGGGGAAGGGCCGGCTCCACCCCCATCCCATGAGGCCCCACCTGTCTTGTCACTTCAGGCCCCTACCTGGCTGTCCATAGGCCTCTGGAAGATGGCAGTGACAGAGCCACCAGGGGAAAAAGACCATGCCTTCCTAATTTTTAAATGGACAAAGAGTGATCCTGGCAAAACACACAGACACAGATGCACATGTGCACGCGCGCGCGCTCACACACACACACACACACACACACACACACACACACACACCCTGAAAGAATTGGCTAAGAGGTGAAAGGTCGAAATGAAGGGCAATTCTAAGTGGCTGTTTGGCAGGAGCTACGGAGTGTACAGGATTATTTAGGTGACCAGCATATAGATTTTATTTTGTATTTTTGATAATTTTAACACATGTGCTGTACTGCTGTTGAGTGTTTGGAGTCACCCTAGCGGTACTCAGTGGCCATACTTGACTCTGCTCAGGGAATCATGTGCAATGCTGGGATATGAACCAGCGTTGTGGCCACAGCTGCATACTAGACAAGCACCTTCATTTTCTCTGGCCTCCCAGCTGCACACATTTGGGGAAAGGCAGCTCAGAGAGAGAAGGGAGCACCAAATAAAGGGTTTTGGGAGGATCTTCCCAGGATGGGAGATGCGTGCTGAGAGTAGACTATAAACCGAACATGATTGCTACTCAACGTCTCTTTTGCAAACCACAGCACCCAAAAGGAGAGAGAGAACAAAAGGGAATGCCTGCCACAGAGGCAGGGTGGGATGGGGGGATGGGGGTGGAAGGGATACTGGGATCAGTGGTGGTGGAAAATGGGCACTGGTGGAGGGATGGGTATTTGATCATTGTATAACCGAGATCCAAGCACAAAAATTTGTAAGTCTACAACTGTACCTCATAGTGTTTCACTAATAAAAATTTTAAAAAATAATAACATAAAAATTCTTAATTCTAAAAATTTTTTCCCCTCTGGCCTCCAGAACATAATTTTTTGGGGGGTAAATATGGGCACACCTGGTGGTGCTCAGGGGTTACTCCTGGCTCTGCACTTGGGAATCACTTCTGGTGGTGCAGAGGAGAGCATATGGGACGCCTGGGACAGAACCCAGGTCGGCCCATGTGCAAGGCAAGCGCCTTACCTGCTGTACTATATTCTAACTCACAATATAGATTTTTTTAAAAGAAAAATGGAAAATAGTGTCTTTGAATTATGCTCCTGCAGGAAGCCGCTGTACTTTCCTCAGGAAACCACTAAAAAAGTTTTTTTTTTCTTTTTGGGTCACACCCGGCAATGCTCAGGGGTTACACCTGGCGCTGCACTCAGGAATTACTCCTGGCATCGCTCAGGGGACGGATACGGGATGTCAAGGATCAAGCCTGGTCGTCCTAGTGCAAGGCAAACGCCCTCCCCGCTGGCAATGAGGGACCCAGCTGCTCCTAACCCACACGTTGCCTCTGTCCAGCACAGCCACATCCCCCAGCTTCAGCCAATGAATCAAACTTCCTGTCTCCTGTCCTCCTATCGGGTACCTGCCCCTGGAGAGCTGTCCAAAGTACATCAGAGTCTGCCTGCTCGAGATCCTAGATCTAGCCACGCTGTAGGAGTGGGTCTCGTGAGAACCCGCGGAGTACTTGTAGTATCAGGGTATCAGAGAGGAAACTGATGGGGGTGGGGGCTGGAGATACAGTACAGCGGGTAGGGCTCTTGCTTTGAACGCGGCCACCCAGCGTTCCACCCCCAGCATCCCATATGGTTCCCAGCACAGTCAGGAATCATTTTGGCGTGCAGAGCCAGGAGTAAACACCCACCCCCGGCCCCTCAGCATTGCCGGGTGTGGCTCAAGAACAAAACAAAAGGGGATAGAGGAGAAAGCAAACCAAAAAATAATAATAATAAAAAAGATGCTGACAGCAAATTCCAAATAGCGAGCCAGGAGCCTGGAGCAGGGGCTGGAGCTAGCGAACCAGACGGGCGAAGAATGAGTTTGAGGTCACCGAGAGGCCTCGGGAAGTTTGTACCCGCCGGGTGTGTGTTGAAAGGACTGAACCTCCGGTCGCTGAGTTGAGCCTAGATAAGTTGTGCGTATTGAAAGGTGTTAATTTTTTTTTGTGACGTGGCCTCTGAGGTCAGCATCGGGGCAACCTGGCTGGCGCGGTGTAGTAAACTTGGCCTAGAGGGAGCTTGGAAAGGTCTGAGCAAGGGGGTAGGTGGGGCGGGGAGGGGGGATGCAATCCGTAACAGGCCAAGCTTGGCTGGGGAGTTTTGCGGGGGTCGGGGCAGGGCTTCAGGTACCGTGTAGGTACGCTGCAAGGTTCCAGTCCCGGGCACCGCGCCCCGTGCAGGACTGGCCCCTCTGAGCCGCTCCCTGCACCTTGCAGGGCCCCGGCGGCAGCTGCGGAAAGTCCTTTCGCTCTCGGCCTTGCAGGTGAGGCGGGGGAAGGCGGCACCCGCAGGAGACAGACGCCGGCCATGCCCGGCCCGCAGCTGCCCGCACGGGTCTCCCGCCCGCCGCCCCCCGCGCGCGGCAGTCTGCAGCCGCAGTGAGCAGGAAGGAGCGGCGGAGGCCGAGGCCGCGCCGGAGGCAGACGAGGACGAGGAGGAGGAGGAGGAGGAGGAGGAGGAGGAGGAGGAGGAGGCGCCACCCCCCGGCGAGCTCCGCCCCGCGACGGCCGCCGCTGGATCCCATGGCTGAGTCCTCGCCCGCGCGGGCCCTGCGGGAAGGGCCGCGCTCGCGCTCGGGCTCCGAGTCGGAGGAGGCCGAGCTGTCGCTGCGCCTGGCCCGCACCAAGACCCGCTCGTACGGCAGCACGGCCAGCGTGCGGGCGCCGCTGGGCGCGGGCGTCATCGAGCGCCAGGTGGAGCACCGCGTCCGCGCCGGCGACACGCTGCAGGGCATCGCGCTCAAGTACGGAGTCACGGTGAGCGCGCGCGCGCGCGGCGGGCAGGCGCGGGGCGGGCGCGGGAACGGGAGAGCGCGGGGCGGGGAGGCGCGGGGAGACACTGGGCGACGTGGGGCGGGGAGGGCGCGCGGAGGTGCGGGAACGGGAGGGCGCGGGGAGGGCGCGGAGGGGCGCGGGGAGGCGCAGGGCTTCGGGAAGGGCGCGGGGAGACTGGGGTGCAGAGAAGCGCGGGCTGCGGCGTTGGCGCGGAGGCCCGTCCCGGCAGGTTGTGCCTGCCGGGGATGTGGAGGGAGGGGGGAAGGCGGAGGACGGGGGAGCTGGCACTCTGCGCCGGGAGGCCAAGTTCACCCGCTGCTGCGGCTCCCCCGCGCCGCCTCCCCCATCTGAACCGCTAGATACTGGAAGGTGCGGACTTGAGCGGGGAAAGACGATTCTCCGGGTAAACAAGCGCCCAGATGAGTCCCAAGTGATGCCCCGTTTCCTGATGGGTCTGTCGATTCTGCGCCCTTACTTAGAAGGGAAAGGGGAAAGAAGGGCTCACGGGGAAACTGGGAATGTGACACCTGTCGCTAAGCAGCAGCCCCAGAGTGTGGTCTGGGGAGCTGGAGAGCTGCGTTATCAATTTATAAGTGTGTCCTGGGCCTCTTGCATTACACCGCCGGGAAGAACATGGAAACCAAGAGGGAGCAGACCGCCTCATTAAAACTGCTTATCATTAACCCCGAGCTGTGCGATGGCCTTTTTTGAACGGCAGTTCCCGCTCGGTTTCCAGCGTTCTTTCCCAGGAGCTTATCTGGATCTTTCTCTCTCGGGCTCCTCCACTCAGACAGTCTTAGTAGTCGTCTCCTTTGCATATTTGAGCTGGAATCTGTGGGTCCGGTCACCTGGCAGCTCCTTTCGTCCTTTAAAACATTGTGAGGCCAGTGAGGAGTATACTGGCATCACAGTGCCCCTGGGAGTTTGTGAGTTTCCAACCGTGAACAGTGGCCACAGCCCTGTTACAGTAAATGTCGCCCAGGGGCTTTGACCCGGGGCAGGAAAGCCAATCTGGGAAATCAGTAGCTGTTCCTGCCGAATGCCTGCAAGTGGGCTCGGAATTAGGTTTGTCGTGTTCCACCCTGTTCTTACTCAGTTTGGTTTTCCCAAGAAGCCTAGGAGGTAGGTATTGATCTTTTTTACAGATGGAAAGATGGAAGGAAGCTTAGTGCTTATTTATTTAGGTCACCTTGAATGAACACACTACGCTGAAAAAGCGTTTGCTTTGCTCTAGACAGGATTTCAGATTTCAGTCCTTATTTTAGTAACAGGCTGGGCTCAGGGGCCTTGGTTAACCAGGCAGGACCAGTACTCTGACCAAGGACATGATGTGCTGTATAACTAGGGACCACCAGGGCCACCTTGGCAGTGCTTGGGAGCCACCAGGGACCTGCTTGGCAATGGGGGGGGGGGGGCAGGAGGATGCAATGTGATGCCAAGAATCAAACAGGCTCCCCAATATCTAACCCCAGTGCTGTCTCCCCAGCTCCATCCCATTCCTATTTTTTGCTTTTGTTTCTGGGCCATATCAGCGATGCTCAGGGATTATTTCTGTGTTCAGGAGTCACTCCTGGTGGGCTCAGGGATCATATGGGATGCTGGGGGGTGAGCCCAGGTTGGCCGCATGCTAAGCAAGCGCCCCACTCACTGTACCATCTCTCCGGCTCCCATTCCCCGTATTTTTATTCTAAATTTATCAAGCGCTCTCTTAGCATCTTGCTTATGGAAAGAGGATCTTTGCTGTCTGGTCTGTCTGCATCTACCCCACCAGGCCAGAGGGACTGGTCTGGGAATCCATAATAATTCTTGGAAGTGGTATCCCAAGAATTCCCAGCCCCTTACCCTGGTCTGTGCCATCACCACCATCTGCTATTGAGCGACTTGACTTGCTTATAGCTCCTAAACATCTGTTTTCTTTACATCTCCATCACTGAGCAAATAATTTCTAGTGCCTTTTTCACCTCTATAGTTGCTTATAACCATATCAGTTCTTTTCAAGAAAGTGTTAAGTTGGGGGTTTTATGACTTTTCTTGAAAACTCGCTTTTGAAGGAAGGTGCGGTTTAGCTAACTGTCTGTGTCACTTACTCCCCTGGAACTTTGTGGCTCTTTATTGAGCTGGTATTGGGCCCCACCATCCTCATTGGCACAAGATCTCCTCTTGTTATTTTTACAGGGGTTGAGAAGACAGTAGTTCCTTCCATCCCTCATACTGTCCCTAAATTTAATTGAAAACAGAAAGCGAAACAAGTATACTTGCTTTTGAGATGTTAGGCTCAAGTATAATTAATTGGGAACTATATATAGTTACAAATGGCTGAGGACTGGAGTTCTCAGCCTTAGCACTAATAAAATTATGGACCAGATACATCTCTGTCCTGGGGGGTTTATCCTGGAGCTTGGGATGTTTAGAAGCATCTCTGATATCTGCCCACTAGATACCAATCACAGCTTCAAGCAGAAATTACCCAGTGTTCCTTGGGGAGAGACTCTAACTCTCTTAAGAGTCATTACATATCTACATAGAGATCATATACTTTGGGTCCTGTACTGTAGTGATTTTTTTTTCTCTCTCCAAGTGAAGGGCTGGAGCAATAGCACAGCGGTAGGGCGTTTGCCTTGCACGCAGCCAACATGGCCGACCCGAGTTCGATTCCTCCGCCCCTCTCGGAGAGCCCGGCAAGCTACCAAGAGTATCTTGCCCGCACAGCAGAGCCTGGCAAGCTCCCCGTGACATATTCGATATGCCAAACACAGTAACAACAAAGTCTCCAATGGAGACGTTACTGGGCCCGCTCGAGCAAATTGATGATCAACGGGAGGGCCTTTACTTTACTTTACTCCAAGTGAAGGGATTGAATCAAGGGCTTCCTACCTACGAAGCATGCGCTGTATCACTGAGTCACACCCCGGCCCCTGGTTGCTGAAATTACTTGGGACTCCCACAGCTTGTACAGAACAGTGAAGGTGAAGCAGTGAAGCGAGTGTCCCATCAGCGAACACCTGCAGATACTCACTGGATTCACTCCCGCAAATGGAGATATCTCTGCGGGTGCTAAATTGGCACAAAAGTGGTTTCTTGCCCTTGGCAGAAAGAAGTTTAGTGAGTGGCCTTGCTAATGTTGACAGCCAAGGTCATTTATTGCTTATAGCTATGTAGTTTAAAGAGCAGGAGATGAGAGGTAGGAGATTTAGATACCAAAGGCAGTGTACCTGCAAATGAAGAATCAGCCTAGGACAGAGTCCCTAAGCTTACTGGTCTTACTGCCCCCCTTTTTTGGGTGCCCTGGCGGTACTCAGGGCATCTTGTGGTGCTAGGGATGGAATTGGGAGTTTCTGCATGCAAAGTCTACACTCTGGCCACCCTTAAAGAAATATCCTGATGATCAACTGTAAGTCATTCATAGTTAATTATAACTGGCCTTCACTAACTTTTTTTGGGGTCGGGGATAATTTTTATTGTTCTTGGTTTGCGGTCCTATGCTAGATGCTGGAGCTACAGATGGTACTTGTTTGGATTTATTTATTTATTTTATGCTTTTTGGGTCACACCCGGCAATGCTCATGGGTTCCTCCTGGCTCTGCAATCAGAAATTACTTCTGGCGGTGCTTGGGGACCATATGGGATGCTGGGGATCGAACCTGGGTCAGCCACATGCAAGGCAAAGGCCCTCCCCACTGTACTATCACTCTGGCCCCAAGATTGTACTTTCCCTCTTTTGAGCCTTGAGAAGGGTGGGTAGCTGGTGTGATTCATCTGCGTATAACCTCTGTTGCAGAGCAGGAGCTGAGGCCCTTCCCCCACCCCCATGTCCTATGCTTGTAATCCACAAGGACAGCCAGTCAGTAGGAGACTGTCAGACTCTGGAGTTGCCTGGGCCCTGGGAGCACAGGGCCCCCACCCTGGGGAGAGTGGGGGGAAGGGGTGCAGACTGCTTGGCTCAAACTGAAACCAAATTGGCAACTGTCTTGGAATCCACCAGGAAGAAGACTTCCTGCTGTGGTTTTTGTGGTGTCTTTGCCTCTCCCGCCCTCTCTTCAGTGGCCTTGTGCTCAGTTAAAGGGGGGTTTAGAGGGGACCCTCTCTCCCAGAGCGTAAGGCACTGGAGGAAGGGGGTCTGGGAAGTGCAGCTGTTTGGGCTGAACTTTCGGGAGCTACAGGATTCCTGCATGTGCCCTTCCCCAGCCAGGTTTCAGGTGAGTCGCTCTTTGTGCTGTGTGCCCACCCCACTCCCTGTCCACCCCGGTCAGGCCTGTGGAAGCAGCTGAACAGCTCCAGGCAGTGAACTTTAACTTTCTGTTTTGGAAACGCTGAAAGACATCCAGCAAATAGTGTAGAAACTGAAAGTGAGGAGGAGGCTGTGCCCTGTCCCTCTTAAGTGCATCAGCGGTCAACGGTTTTGTCTCTTGGCCTTTCTCTGGCAGCTTGCCTGGCCTCCCCACCCTACCCTGAAGGTCACACAGCCCACTGCCTGCTGCCAGCTGCCTGCACACACTTTCCTTCCAGCATTGTTCCCAGGGTCTTCTCACGCAAGGAGCTGTGAACCCCAGTCCTTTCTTAACACTTCTCTGGAGCGATAGTACAGGGGGTAGGGCTTTTGCCTTGCATGTGGCCAACCTAGGTTTGATCCCTGGCATCCCATATGGTCCCCTAAACACCACCAGGGGTGATTCCTGCATGCAGAGCCAGAAGTAACCCCCGAGTATTGCCGGATGTGACTCCAAAAGCCCCCCTCCCCCCAAAAAGAAAAAAAAAACCAGTTTCCTTCAAAGAAGTCACTGTACTAGATTAGAGATAATACAGCAGGTAATGAACTTGTCTTGTGCTGGGTCAACCCCAGTTTGATCCCCGGCATCTCACCTGGTTCCCTGCACCCTGCTAGTCGTGATCCCTCAGCACAGAGCCAGGAATAAGACCTGAGCACAAATGGATGTGCCCCCCCCAAAAAAAAAATAAAGAAAAAGACAAAGGAAAAAAATGAA